CAATTTAAAAATATTTAATAATTTTGAAATATGTGAATGTCCGTATATTTGATTTCCTTGACTCTGAGAAGGCCAGAATTTATGACCCTAGTTTATTTAGACATTTAGGTCATTAGTATTTTGTAGTTCTTCCTTAATAGCCTATACTAATTGGTGGTGGTTGTTGACAATCATTTAAAATAAAGCTCTTTTTGCCCTGAGATTTCAAAATACAACAATATATTCTTGAATATTTCTCAAGTATATTAATATCTGTTGATTTTATTGTGAATATTAGAAATGACTAGCTTTTTTCTCTTTGAGATTATTAATCAGCTTTGGGTCATTACATAAGATATAAAAATACATAAGATATATATATGTGTGTATGTGTATATGTATATATATGTGTGTATATATATATATATATATATATATATATATATATATATATATATATAAAAATAAAGAAAAATTTATTTTGGTTTACAGTTCATTATCAATTAACACCCCCATGGTTTGGGGCCTGTGGAGAGGCAGCACATGATTGTAGGAAAAAATGGAATTTCAATTTGGTATTTTTGCTGACAGTTATTGGAGTGTTTTGCAGTAATTTTTAAGAAGACTTATATGGTAGAACAAATCGAGCTACAGAACAAGAGGAGAAGAGAAATGGAATGGACTGGGGTCTCAAAGTCTCCTTTAAGGACATATCCCCAGTGATCAGGCCCTTCCTTCTAAAGATTTCACCACTTTTCAATAGTGCCATGCTGAGAACCAGTATGGGCCTTTGGGGAATATTTAGCATCTATACTATTGCACTACCATAGATTAGGTTTCAAAAAGAATGTAGTACAATTCTCTGTGATGCTCATCACTCAATCTTGGTTTTGGTAAGTATCCAGAAGTATTAGCATAGACTAGCTTCATAGTATAAAGAAGAGACTTGTGCAAAACTGGGATAACATAGGAAGTCTGGAGTGTTTTACAGTTTTTCCTTACAACTATCAAGTTGTATTATTTTCCCAGAAGTTTGTTTTATTTCAGTGCTACTGGATTCTGTTTCAGAATCCAGCCTTTATAACCTATATCTTCTGTTGCTTAAGATAATAGGAACTGCAAATATTTATAGAGGGCTTACTATGTTCCAGCAACTGTTCTAAGTGCTTTATGTGTTTTAACTCATTTAATCTCACAACTCTATGAAGTGACCCTCTTTGTCTTCTCTTTATAGGCAAGGAAAGTAGGCACAGAGAGATTAAGTAACTTGCCCAAGTTTCTCAGCCATGGAGGTAGAATTTGAAGTCAGGGAGTCTGGTTCCAAAGGCTATCCTTTTTAACCACTATGCTATATTGGCTTAACTAAGTAAACTTAACACCCACAATTATCAAACCATTGTTTATTTAATTAATATAGTTCATTAAGTTGTATGTTCATATTTGTCCTAAGGATTAAAAATTATAAATTATTTTTTAAAATTAGGTTTATGGAGAAAATGCCAGCTGTACATAAAATTCCTAAAATCTCTGACTGGCTTTTATTTCATTTTTAAAACAGACTTTGCTTTTTAGAACAGTTTTAGATACACAGAAAAATTGAGACAGTATATGGAGTTTCCATATAATCCTATGTCCAGTTTGCTTTAACTTCGTAAGAATTAATGAACCAATATTTGACAGTAACCAGTAATAATGCTACCTTATTGTTGAACAAAGTCCATAGTTTATTCAGATTTTATAGATTTCCCCAAATGCCCTTTTTTGTCTTCTAGAATCCTATTACAGTACATTTAATGGTCATGTCTCCTTAAGTTCTCCCTGTCTCTTAAGTTTCTCAGACTTTCCTCATTTTTGGTGAGGAAAGTTTCAAGGAGTACTGGCTATATACTATGTTGCATGCCCTTTGGTTAGAATTTTCTGATGTTCTCATGATTAGTCTGAGGTTGTGAAATACTGGAAGAGAGATTACAGATGTACAGTGTTTTTTTCATCCCATCATCTCAAGGGTACTTGCTACCAACATGATTTATCATTGTTGTTAACCTTGATTAACTGTCTTATGTGGTGTTTGTCAACTTCTACACAGTGAAATTACTGCTTTTATCCTCCCATGCATATTGTACTCTTTGGAAGAAATCACTATGCATACCTCTCTGAGGGCAAAGTGTCTACATAAAGTATTTAGTATTCTTGTACACAAGAGGTTTGTTTCTTCTCCATTTACTAATCTGTTCATTCATTTATATTAATATGAATGTATGGATTTTTTTTATACTTTAGGTATAAAGTCAGTACTATTTATTCCTCCAGTTGTTATAGCTTTGGACAGAAGGAACCTTTTCAGTTGACTTTTGTACACCTTTGACATACCCTCTTCACTTTTTAAAGTTTTTTATTGATGCATTATAACTTTGCATAATAGTGGGGATTCATTATGCCATATTTGTATATGCACATAACATCATTGATCCCTATTATTCCCCAGTACCCTCACTTCCCCTCCCCTCCTCCTTCTCCTGATCTGCTGACTCTACTAATATTATTATTATTTCAATTAGTACATTATAATTATACATATAAGCAGGATTCATTGTGGTATATTTGTACATGGACATAGCATAATTTGATAGATTTTGTTCCCTGATACTTCTCCATACTCTCTTCTCTTTGTTCCCTCCTGCTTCCTTACTTTCTGGCACTATATGATGCTTTTGACTCAACTTGTATATTTCGTGCCCCTGTCCTACAATTAGTCATTTCTTAAAGGAGTTCTGATTCCTTTTATTGGAGAATGGTTCAGGAACCAAGACCTGTGTGCTAGTTACGCTTGTTGCTACTGGGGTGGCATTTGTTTATAGACTCTCTTGGTTGACAGCAGAGAAATACATATGTCTGTGCTGATCCACGTGTCCATATATACATATCCATAAATATCCTATGTGTAACTATTTATATCAAGTCAAACATCAGTTCTTACTGAAGTTTCCAACTTTAATCCATCACAACCTGGAAAATTATAGTTTCCTTCTCCTGTTTATTTCTAAATTCCACTGTAACAGTGAGATGAGATGTCTGGCTCCCACCATGTTATCCATTTATTCATTTGTTCAGTTCTAGTGTACATGTATAATGGTGTCAGTTATAAACCCAAATTCCCATTGAAAAAATTTCAATTGGAGTACAGTACTCAAGAGTATTTCCTTTGCCTTTAGTCTTACTTATTTAATCTACTTACTTCTAGAGTTAATTAAGCTAATACTTAATCTCATGTTTTGTTTTTTTTTTTTTAATTTTCCCCTGTCAATAAAATTTGATAGATGAATGAATCAGATTTTTTCCTGGAAGGCCCTGTTTTCTCTCTTGCTTCTAGTACTATGTGGACCACTCTTTTTTGCTTCTCTCTGAATACTCTTTGCCCTGATATGCCCAGCTCTTTATTTTGTTTTCCTGGCACCTTCACCCATTGCTCCTCTTGTTCTTCGCATTTGTTTCACTCTTGATAGTGCTCTTAATAAATGGAATATTTTATGGATTATGTTGAAATATTTTTATTTTTTATGTTATAGATAGCTTTTCATTCTGGTATCTTCCAACATTTCTGTAAAATGAATAATTTGTTTAGTGATTATCTTTCAACATTTCTGAAAACATAAATATACATTTAATTATCATACTACATTTTAAAAATTATTTTCGGTTTTTAAGCTGAACTATTTCAGTAGGAAGGCAGTATAACATTAAGAGCATATATTCTGGAATTATATATGTTGACTTTAAATTCTGGCTCCACAGTTTGGTAAACTTAGGTGACCCTCAGTTCTCTCATCTGTACAATGGAGAATTGATAGCTAATAAGGTCATGAACATTAAATGGGACAATATATCTTTTAAGCATTTTTAAGTGTGCCTAGCGCAAACTGAGCATTTAAATAAATATTAACCATTATTAAATGCTAATACTATGTAAGGTCAAGGAAAGGAGAATCATACTATGTTTAAGATGGTTATTTTTTCAAACTTCTGAAAATTATTCAGAGTCCTAAAGGTAGGTTGATAATACATACTGGTTTGCCTGGAATGATAATCCACACAATATGCCTATTATGCTAGCATGATTATGAGGAGCATCCTCCTTTTTACTTACTAAGTATTTTGGTTTGGGTGTTAAATTATATGATCACTTATTTTTAGGGGGTTATAAAACTCTTATCTGCATCCCTGTGGCAGGGGTGGTATAGCACAGGAGGCTAGGATTAGACTAGTGGGTCCTGGGAAATGTGCACATCTAAGAGGGTAGCATTGCTTCGCTCCAGCTGCTGAGGAAGATAGCAGGCCTGGTTTAATCCAATCTTGCTTTTTTTAGAGTAGGCAGAAATCTGGAAAATTTAAAATAGTTCACCCAATTTGTCATCATTAGCAACTAATTACATTTTTCTAAAAAGCACAAAAAATTTATTAAAAGATCGATGCATTAGATCATATATAATTTATATTGCAGTTTTTTTTTAATATGCAGGTCAAATGATGGTCCTTACATATAGCCTGAGAGTTTCTGTTTCCAATAACTGATAATTCCTTAATAGAAAGAATTAACTCTAATGTAGAAACTGAACATGTATTTTTAAACATTAGTTATGTAAACATCAAACTTTTTAGGACTTTTAATGTAGTTACCACATATATTAAATATATGATAGTAAAAACTGTAGACAGGAAATACCTTATATGGTTGTTTCAAGGAAAATCTGGAGAGTATATGTAGACTGAGAAAACTGAAAAGGGTAGTGCTAAATTGACCATAATTGTGAAAGTCTTTGAAATCCTTAATGAATTAAAATGACCAAGAATTTTCTAAAGATAACATAATTGCAGTAGTAGAATTAGAAGTGAATGTGTAGTAGGCAACAATTGTGGAATGCTTTCTAATGCCTTTCACTTGAAATGTGTTTCATGTGATCTATTGTAGCTTAGATTTCCAGAACTTTTCTTTGGAAACAAATTTTTTTTTTTCCCTTTTTAAGACTGTTTTAAAGAAGTCATTCATATACGTCTGGATGAGCTTCTCCATGTTTTAAAGTCTGTAATGAATAAGCATCAGAACCTCAATTCTGTCGATCTTCAAAATGCTGCAGAAATGCTTACTGCAAAAGTGAAAGGTAAGGATGATATGTTAAAAGGGTAGCTTGGGCAAAAAGTCTCCAGTGAGACATTCTGTTTCATAATGACTGTATAACCATTTCCTCTGATGGCATTTGTATGAGGTGTATCAATAAAGAGTTATGCATACTTGGATATTTAAATACTTCCACTAAGTCACACCTACAGTTTCTTCCTCTTAAAAATGAAAACTTTGTCAGTGAACATTGTAAAACTACTAACTTAAACCAAACAAGTGATGTTTAAAAATTGTGCTTTATGAATGAGTTCATGATATTTTGAGGTAGTTTATTAGTGTACAATATGTGTCTTTGTTATGTGAGGACAAGTGATGTTAGAAAATGTTCAATTGTAGCAATTCCAGTTTGTAAAAGGAACCAAGTGGAGAACAAGGCTTATTTTAAGATTTGAAAATGAAAATTGTAGAATAAGTTTATCCTCTATATATGTGTGTGTGTGTGTGTGTGTGTGTGTGTGTTTGAACACTCACATAGCATATGTGTGCTTAAACAGTCAAGAATTGGGACTTCCCAGTTAAATGACTTGCCACTCAAAATTGTTAAAATTATTCTGGGCTGCAACATATAAGAATTGAGAGTGAAGGGAGTATTTATTTAGGTCAATTAGGAGATTTTTAGAAATTGTGGGCAAGATAAGGATTGAAGGTCTGATTTAAGGCAAAAACTGGGATGTAGTAGTGGTAAGTTGTTGATTGTTGTCTAGAGGGGATGGATGTCAATTGACAAAACAAGACAAGTTGAACAGATTAGGGGTTATGGAGAAGTTTGGAGTTGAAGGTGTGGATTTGGGAATTGATGTTGTATGGGTGGTAGATAATTTTAAGTGGGAAAAGTGGGTAGCTTCTCTGTGGCTTTTAAAAATGTGCATACTAACCAAATTTGTTTTAAAATAGATTGTTTACAAGTGCCATTTAACTCTACTTAGGGAAATTTGTGTCTATAGATAGTAAAATTTCCATGCTTGGAAATAGCGACCTAGTTCAATTGTTGTCAGTGGCTACTATGTGCAGTCAGGATGTCCTGGGGAAGGAGTGCCTATGTGGTTGGTGTCCACATTCCAGAAACAGACAAAGAGAGTTGTCTCTCAATTGCTTTGGAGATCTTTTTATCTTTGAGCTAAAGTAATCTTTTGAATATCATTTCCCACGATGACTGTCGTTACATGGGATTGTTACTGTTTTAGTTTTGCGTTGGATGAAACTTTAAAAGCGGAAGATTACTTGTGAAATTTACTCTTTCAGCAAGAATTTGTGAGACTAAAAAACTTAAAAAAAACCTGTTCTTTGGAGTAGGTTTACATGTTTTTTAAAAAAAAGCTTCCTCCCTGTCCCTACTCCTAATGTTGAAGCCCCCCTAAAAATATATTGATATTGTAAATGAAAAATATTCAGTGATCTGCAAAATGGAGATCAGAGCTTATTTAATTCTTTAATTTAATGATAATCTAGTTTTCAAAAGCTGGAAAGTCAAGGTATAGGTGGAAACCATTTTTTAATAGACATTAAAATAATAGATTGCTGTCCCAAGCAATCTGAGTGCTTTGCATACTTCAATCTTTGCAGAAATCTGTAAATGTACATTTTTGTTATGCTTATTTTAGAGAAAAATGTTAAGAAAAACTCTTGTATGGTAAAATAAAAGAGTTGTAGAAGTATGAAGATCATTTAGATCATTTTAGTCTTAATCATCTGATTACATTTTAAAAAACAACAGTGAACTAAGCACTTGACTTTTTTGGAGTTCTTACCCATCAAATGCATTTTTCATATTTGCCAGACTGCTCAAACAAAAACAAATAACCCACCCCACAATACAGAACATAGAATGTTGTTTGTGTTCCTTGGATTTGAATGCATGAAATGCATCTACTTTCTATGCAGAAGAAATGAGAAATTGCAATCTTTAATTCCCCTTACTTGTTATTGTTCATATGAAATTTACCTTGTCTTAAGTTGAGAAGAAAATTTCTTAGTTTTTCCCCCATTTATTTTAGTAGTGATTTGTATTTCCTGTGTCTCCTCCTGTTTCCAAGCAGGAAGTTCAGTCTGACAAAATATTTGCAATGTGGCAAGAGAGATACACGCTATTTTTGAAGCAGATAAAGACATTTTCAGAACTCAGGAATTTATGCTGTATTTAGTAGTCATATTTTCATTTATTTAGGTCAATTTTAATTTGTAATTTAAATGAGAAGGAGGTTTTACTTAGGTTTTTCATGATCTGTATTTTGCTCTTTATTTATAAATTGGCAGTCAGAAAAATAAGCTATAATTATACCTCCAAGAATATAGTATTTCATGTTTTCAAATTTGATTCTTTTAATATGCAGTTCATTTACACAAGTAAATACAAATTGTGAGAGAGTGTATTCACCAATAAACATTTTTTTTAATCTCAGCCTCTTTGCCTACCTATATTTTTCCCTAGATAAGTAATAACTACTACTGGTTTCTTTTACATCTTTCCAGAGATATGTTACACATATACAAGCAAATACATGTATGTATTGTTAAATTCTGACAAGTGCACATTCCTGTGAAAACATCATTATAGTGATGGCAATGTTTACTCCCCTTATAATTCTCCACCTCCTCTTTCACAAATTTTAATCTAATTTCTCCTCTTTTTCTTTGACACATGAGTTAATTAGAAGTTTGAAATTTAATTTTCAGGTGTTTGGAAATTTCACAGAGATTTTCTATATTTATTCTTGATTTAATTCCAAGTAGTCACTGAATGTGTTTTGTCTGATATGAATACTTTCAGACTCAGTGTGAGACATGTTTTATGGCCCATAATAAGGCCTGTGTTGATAAATATTCATTTGAAAAGAACATGTGTTTGCTCTCACTAAGTGGAGTGCTCTATAATTGTCTGTCTTGTCAAGGTGGTTGATAGTATCATTCAGATCTTCCTACCCTTACTCATTTTCCATCTGTGTGTTCTGTCAGTTGCAGGGAGGGCTATTGAAATCTCTGCTATCACTATGAGTTTCTCAATTTCTTGTTGCAGCTCTATCAGTTTTTGCTTCATGCATTTTGAAGCTCTGTTTATTGGATACACAAATGTATAGAATTGTTAGGTCCTCTTGATGACCTGACTCCTTCATAATTGTAAAACAAGGTTGTGTCCATTTGTGTCTCTCCCCCTGCCCCCTGTAATTTCCTTTGCTTGTGAATCCACACTGTGTAATATTAGAGAGTAAAGTGGGCAGTTGTAAGCTTACCATGGTGTTTCTTGTCTTTCAGGGATTACTGTCCTTTATTGCCTGATAATCCAGTGTCTTGAAAAATGTTGTCTTTAAATTTTATACAGGTTTTTTTTCAATTGTTTCAGGCTTAATTATAACCTGTTTCTTGGCCAGAACAGAAGTCTTAAGAATATTTTAAAAATTATTTGCAATGATTCTTAAGTTTTTCTTTTTGTTTGTATTAGGGATATTTAGAAGAATGTGATGAAATGTGTGGACTGTCCTCACCCTCCACAAATCTGATTGTAATTTCAGGGAATTTGTAGGCTTGAGGTTTAATTCATCCCAATCTAGGAGTTTTTGCTTTCCAACTCTATTTGCATATTAGTGTCACCTGGGAGAGCTTTTGAAAAATATCTGTGCCTTACTCGAGCCTTTTTTGTTTTGGATACCAAGGATGGAACCCAGGGACGCTTAACCACTGAGCCAGATTCCCAGCCGTTTTTTATATTTTATTTAAAGACAGGGTCTGGTTAAGTTCCTTAGTACTTCTCTCAGTTTCTGAGGCTGGCTTTAAACTCAGGATCTTCCCACCTTAGCTTCTCAAGCCACTGGGATTACAGGCATGTACCACTGCACCCAGCTACTACAGACTTTTCAAATCTGAGTTTTTGGTGATGGGGCTGACTTTGTTTTTAAGAATCCCCATCCAAGATTAAAAACGATTGGTAAAGTAGAGGATGGCTTCTTTTCCACATGGTTTCTCTACCTGCACTTTATTGGTATGGATACTAGAGAGGGTAAGATACATGGAACTATTTGCCTTATTACCAGCCTGAGTCACATGGTTTATTTATTTAAAGGAAAAAAGCCAATTCAACCTTCAGATTTTGTCTTAGTAAATTGTGTTTGGGCTTTTATCAAGGGTGCGTATAGAAGTTAGAAGAAACTGTTTTAGTTGTTTCATAATTTTCATTAACAAAGTGCAAAATGTCTCTATTATAAACAAAAGACAGCTCTATGTCAATTAACCTAGATCTCAGGGCCCAAGAACCTATTTTGAGCAACTATAAATAAATAGAAATTTAAGTTTTCTAAAGCACTAGATTTTTAAAAAATGTGATATCTTGTTATAGGTTTTATATATACAAATATATAAATGTATATAAAATTTCAGTTATTGGTGGTTCATAGTAAATATGTGCTTCCAAATGATTTCAGTGAGCCATAGTGTCTTTAACTGTTCTTAAAAATACCAGAAAGCAGTAAAGAAAAATAGCACAGAACACTCTTGATAAAGAGGTCTGGTGTAACAGACTCTGACTCCAAGACAGATTGATTTCCCACTAAGTAACTTTTTATATGTGTCAAATTATGTAAAGCATAGATTAGGGAGTTTGGAATGCCAACTACTTTCATGCAACTGATTTTTTATGATTTCCTGAATGAATACCTGAATATCCTCTTGTTTTGTATAGCCCTTTCACTTTCTGAATCTTTTAATGAAGTACTGGTAAATTTTTAAAGGAGTAAATGATTTTGTATGAATCTATATTCATATATTGTCTTCCTCATTTATTGTAACAAACCTTTCCTTACAGCTGTGAATTTTACAGAAGTTAATGAAGAAAACAAAAAAGATCTATTCCGAGAAGTGTTTTCTTCCATTGAAACTTTGGCATTTACCTTTGGGAATGTGTAAGTAAAGGACTGTCTTTTAAAGGTACTGGGCCTAAGTGTGTTTCAGTATATATATTGCCTGTACAATCCATAGAAACTAAAGTATTAACTATTATAACATATTATCACAACTTTGAAAAAGACACACTCTTTGTTGTTCTATTAAAGTATTTGGAGGTGTCTTTATAACTATTTAGAAGCTACATTCATTTGTAAGTAACTGATTCATGTGAATAGATTTCTAGGAGTTTTTAAATCATGTTCTTCCTTAAAACAGATTGTCCTAGATGATATGATTGTAAAGCCTGTGAAAAGAAGCATAATGATATGTCTTTTTTTTTTTTTTAACCTCCCTGGATAGCCTTACAAACTTTCTTATGGGAGATGTAAGCAATGATGCGTTGTTACGACTGCCTGTTTCTCGGGAAAATAAGGTAAGTTGTTTGGTTTGAGTGAAGCCTTTTATATTTTTAACTAAGCATTTCATTTATTTTCTAATCTTAATCTCAGAATTACTCCTTCATAGTTAAGTTTATAAATTACCATAATATGGCAAGAAAACCAGACCAACTCATTTGAAATATGATCAGTTTTCTGGAGCAGTATTTGGTAATACTTTTTAAGTGGACTGAACTATTAAAAGGGCATGCCTGATAATTTATAATATACAATGAATCCATATGGTATAAGGTCTAAAATTTTAGAAGGGATTTTTAACCTTTTTCCCTACTGACTTTGGCATAGATTTTGAGACTGGTGAAACTTGTGGGGGAAAAATGGAAAAAGTAAGGAAGGTGGTAATCTCACATATCATACAATTTGAGTTTTTTTTTTTTTGCCAGGAAACACTTGTTAACCCTGTAGGTCTTAATTCTCCCTACCAGCATCCCTGTACTTTTGTCATAGGATTGGGGTTATGATTTCTAATTGGAAGAAAATTTTCTTTGGAATAATAAAGATCTATAATAGTGGAGGCTGGGATTGTGGCTGAATGATAGAGTGCTTGCCTAGCATATGTGAGGCACTGGGTTCGATTTTCAGTATCGCATATTCATAAGTAAAAAATAAAAGTATTTAAAAAAAGATCTAAAATAGTAGGAATATTTTCAGTTGACTGATTATTTTTTCACTTAATGAAAGATATTTAAACATACTCCCTCAGGGACATGTGTTGATAATTTCTATTAAAAATGATCTGATCCATTAGCAATGCCCTAAGCAACTTAGTGACACCCTGTCTCAAAATTTTAAAAAAGGGCTGGAGATGTGGTGCAGTGGTTAAGTGCCCCTCGGTTTAATCCCTGGTACCACAACAACAAAAAAAGGATTGATCAGATCCAAAAAGGATTTCCACAAATGTGCCAGGTACTTGTATTATATAAAAATAATATAAAAAGTTAAGCTGGTATGGTAGTGTGTGCCTGTAACCCCAGCAATTCAGGAGGCTGAGGTAGGAGGAGCACAAGTTCAAAGCTAGCCTCAGCCATTTAGCAAGACTTTGTCTCAAAATAAAATAAACAATGAAAAGGGCTGCCAGGGGTGGTTAGCACATGCCTATAATCCCAGTGGCTTGTTAGGCTGAGGCAGGAGGACCGGGAGTTCAAAGCTAGCCTCAGCAATTTAGCGAGGCCCTAAGCAACTCAGTGAGGCTTTGTCTATAAATAAAATACAGAAAAGTGCTGTGGTTGTGCCTCAGTGGTTAAGTGCCCCTGAGTTCAATCCTTAGAACCAAAAAACTAAAATAAAATAAAAATAAAAAGGGCCAGGGATTTGTTTCAGTGGTTAAGTACCCCAGGTTCAATCTCTGGTACTCTCAACGCCCCCAAAAGAAAACCTAAGATCATTCTTTAAATGATACAAAATATAAGCATGAATGCTTAAAGCACTTGGTGTACATGTATTATAATATTGCAAAAATGATCAGGACTGTTTCTAAAATCATCCATTGATAAATGAAGAATAAGGAAGAGTCTTAAAATTGTCAAATATTTTACTGTTATTCATGTTTCTTCCTCAATTTTACCTTTTAAAATTGTTACTGATTCTTCAGAAGATAATAAAACTTTAACATGTGTAGCAGGGCTCTGAACAATTTAAATTTTAGATATGAATCATATTTCCTATTCCTGCTTCTCTAATGTGGGCACATACTATTCTGACTTTTAATAGAAAAATAACTTTACCCTTCTTAAAAAATTTTGTGCCTTGTTTTTCTTTTTCTGAAGTTTTAATTTTCCCTAGAGATTAAGATTAAAAAGCTCAAGATGATATAATCCTAATAATAAAATTACTTTGTTTGATGAAGGTTTTTGAAAAATATAATTTAAAAATAATAGCTGCAATTCATTTTAATAGTGCTTACTATATACCCTGTACTGTGCTAATAACATTATATCATCTTGATTCTTAAAATAGCCTTATGAATATAGTATTCCATTTTACAGAAGGGCAAACTAAAGTTAGGCGAATTTAAATGTGTAATCCCATGTCATAAAGTGAATAATGGAGCTGGACTTGAGACCCAGGTCTTTTTGATCCCTTTTGCATTGAATCCCTATATACCTTGTATTGCCCAACCAAGTAGATCAAATATGTGTAAGATTTAACAATTTTGATAGATGTAGTTTTCTAGCCTGCTAATATGGTAGCCAGTAGTCACTTCTAGTTCTTTAAAATTAATTAATAATTGAATAAAAGTAAAAATTTGCTTCTTAGTCATAATAAATACTTTTAAAATGCTCAAGTAATGTATGAAGAAACTAATGGTGTGACTCTACTTTGTGTACAACCAGAGATATGAAAAGTTGTGCTCTATATGTGTGATATGAACTGAGATGCATTCTGCTGTCACATATAACAAATTAGAATGAACAAATAAATAAATAAAAAATTTAAAAATGTTCAAGTAAGTAGCTACAATGTAGTTAATAGCTACCATATAGGATATTACATATTTGCATCTTTACAGAAAGTTCTGTGCTAAGCTGTCCAACAAACTTTCAAGGATGTGCTTATCATATAATAAAATGGTAAAAGATGAGCTGGACAAGGCAGATCTATATCTTCTATTTAGATAGCAATCTATTTAGATCACTTCTTTGACTTCCTGATATTTTAGGAATATGCAGAATTTAAAGTTTTGCATAGATTCATGCATGTTAACTTATGCTGTTAGTAAACAATGAGATTGTTCATTCTTGCTTGGAGCTTAAGACCTTTTGTGGTAAAAAGCCATGTAATTCTTAGAAAGTGTTCTGGTATTTAAACAGACTTCTCAGATCCTTTGAAAGGTTTTAAATACTTGAAATTCTTTGGCAGGAATTATGTCAAAGTAACAAATTGGGGTGAAAGTTTTCTGAAGCAGAGATTTGTTGTCTTCTGCACTAATCTTAAATTTGTTTTCTTCCATGTTGTAAAGTCTTTTGAAAATATTTCTGTGGACTCAGTCGAGTCATCCAGTGAAAAAGGTAATACTCAATGTACTTATAACTTTTGTTAAACTTTTTGCAGTTTCTTTCAATAAGTGGTTTGGATTACTTTATCTCTTCTTGATTAGTAACCTATTGTACCTAATATACTCATTTTTTAGTGCATAATGACATATAAAATGTTATGTATAAAACTTAAGAGGAAAACCCCAGTTGAGTAGATAAATAATTTGATGTTGTAGACTTATCAAGAATAAAGGCTTGTAACTTGAATAATAGAAATATATATTAAGATAAAATATATTATAATTTGAAATCATTTTATGTTTAAATCGTGCCCTGTAATTATAAATTTGTCTGAATGCTGCTTTGTTTAGAATTATTATAGACTATATTTAACAAATACTTACTCTGATATTTTTCTTTTCAGGAAATTTTTCTCCTATAGAATTAGACAATGTGCTGTTAAAAAACACTGACTCTATTGAATTGGCCTTGTCATATGCTAAAACATGGTCAAAATATACAAAGAACATAGTGACATGGGTTGAAAAAAAGCTTAATCTGGGTGAGTTGTCTTTTGGAGCATCTGATTACTATGGAGTGTAAGAACTAAATTGTTTATGATTCATTTTCTATAGACTAAGTATTTATGATAACAAATTAGTTGTTTCATTATTCATTTTCTCTTCTTGAAATAGACTTTTCTTACACTAGATATACTTGTTGAACATTTACAGTGGGTCAACCATTGGACCTAGAAGTCATATTGTAATGGGTGAAAAGAAATACAATCAGATAACATGGTTAAAGGAGATAAACGCAACAATAGATGTTTCAGCAGAAGACAGTGGAAGCTTAGAAGAAACATCCCCACCCCCAGCCCATGCTGGGGATTAACCCAGCATATCATGCAGGCTGGGCAAGCACAGTATATGCTACTACCACCGAGGTACAGCCCCAGCTCGAAGAAACATCTTAACAGCTAATATTACCTAGAATTTTATAGTTGAAAAAAATTTTAATATGCATTATCTCATTTAGTCCTACAAAACCCTGGGAAGTAGGCAAGACAAGAATTCTTAGCCCCATTTACAGATAAAACAAATAAGTGATTTTCCTAAAGTCATATATCAGATTTACATAAGGTCATAGAGCATAACTGGAAGAAAATAGAATCTAGCAAAGCCTGTGCTCTTTCCACTGTGTTATTTATTTTTAATAGGGAATGCTAATTAGAATCACTCAGATAATCTGAAAAAAGGACAGTATAAAGGCCTAGGTTCCATTTCTCAGAGAGGTAAAGTACAGTCAAATGTATTTTGAAAAAGTTTCCCAATTGATTCTGATGAGCACTTAAAATTAAGAATTACTGCATTTTATCAGGATGCACACTAGTATGTGTAATCACTTTTTTCTTTTCTTATTTGTTGGGGGGCACCAGGGATTAAACCCAGAGGTACTCAACCACTGAAGCACATTCCCAACCTCTTTTTATTTTTTACTTTGAAACAGAATCTCGATAAGTTGCTTAAGACCTTGCTAAATTGCTGAAGCTGATTTTGAACTTGGCAATCCTCCTGCCTCAGCCTTCGGAGCTGCTGGGATTACAGACACACACCATTATTCCTAGCTTGTAATCACTTTCCAATTGTAGAAATATAAATAGAGAATGGAGGAAAAAAATTAGTTAATTTTGCTTTCTGATACCTTTTTTAATCTTTTCAGAATTGGAGTCCACCAGAAATATTGTAAAGTTGGCAGAAGCAACTAGAGCTAACATTGGACTACAGGTAAGTGTTGTGTGAATTTTAGGGGTTCTATCACAGGAGATTAGTCAGATGAGCTTCCAGATAGTGCCTTGTAAAATCATAAAATTTCAGTTACAAGAGGAAAAAAACTTAATTGCCAATCTTTTTATTGACAAATAAAATCCTTTTAAATTTATATGGCTGTTAATTATGAAAAAAACTAGGAAATTCACAATTTTATACCAATATTGATTAGTGTGATGGCTGCTAATTTTCTAATTTATAATTAACTTTCTTTAGTATTTTTCTCATAATTGTGTTCCTATATAGTCATTTTTCTGGGAGAAAAAAAAATCTAAACTTAAATTTCTCTTTTTGAAGAACACTATGTGCATCTGGAATTCTAGTGCTATTTCTATTGTATAATTTACTTCTTAATTTTAAATTCTAGGAGTTTATGCCACTACAGTCTCTATTTACCAGTGCTCTCCTCAGTGACGTAAAGAACAGTCACCTTTTACAACAAACAATTGCAGCTCTCCAAGCCAACAAATTTGTACAGGTAAAATAATTTATATATGCACGTTTTTTTTTTTAATAGCAGCATATCTTTAGAAAACAACTTTTTTCTTTTTCTTTTTAAAAAATATCCTTGACAGCCTCTAATGGGGAGGAAAAATGAAATGGAAAAACAAAGGAAAGAAATAAAGGAACTTTGGAAACAGGAACAAAATAAAATGGTTAGTATTATACTGGAATTTCATGTACCTGTTTGTGAACATCTAAAAATCATCTATATTATATAACATCTACCTTACTCTAGTTTTCTAAAACACTGCTTAACTGTCTTCCTGAATATGCTAAAGAAACTTGTATAGTAGGGTTTCTTTCAAATTCTTGGTTTAATATTACTGTTTTCTGTATAGCTTGAAACAGAAACTGCTCTCAAAAAGGCAAAATTGTTATGCATACAACGTCAAGATGAATATGAAAAAGCAAAATCTTCCATGTTTCGTGCAGAAGAGGAGCATCAGTGCTCAAGTGGTGGATTAGCAAAAAATCTCAATAAGCAACTAGAAAAAAAGCGAAGGTTGGAAGAGGAAGCACTTCAAAAAGTAATATTTTTTTGTTGTTTGAAAATTCAATTAGCAATAATCTGCAAAGGGTTTGTTCTTAAACTTGTAATATATTTTGGGATTATCTAGGAGGCTTATTCAAGCAGCCTGCTGGGTCCACTTCAGAGTTGAGTATAGAGTAAGTAGGTCAAGGGTGAGACCCAAACAATATTCTGCTAACGAAGTTCCCCAGCAATGCTGGTGGAGATCCATACTTGAGAATGACTATGCTAAGAGACTTAAGAATTTGGGGTCTCGTTTGTGAAAGAAGTATTTTAAAGCAGTAGTTTAATATTTTTTACTTGATTTTTTTCAGAAAGTTCACCTTTTAGGCAAGTGCTAATTCCAGCACCTACTAGCAAGTATAAACTAAAATTTTGTGTTATTTATTAAAAATATAGTTTGATAAACAAATTTTGTAAGAGAAACAGTAAATAAAATAGAAAATGCTAATTTAAATAGAAGTGAATACTAACTTTATAGACAATATACTAATTGTAAATTGTGCTTGAATATTCATTAAAGCCAAGTATACGTGAGTCACACACCAGAATGATTATTATTTGTTACATTTAGAAGTTTTCCATTTAAAACATAGATAGACTATTTCTACAATAAGTATTTATTTTAAAATGTAAATTCTGGTAATTAGTGTTATGTTCTTTTTTATTTTTCTCCTGTGGTATTCCTGAAGGTAGAAGAAGCAAATGAACTCTACAAAGTTTGTGTAACAAATGTTGAAGAAAGACGAAACGATCTAGAAAACACCAAAAGAGAGATTTTAACACAACTCAGGACACTTGTTTTCCAGTGTGATCTTACCCTTAAAGCTGTAAGTGATTTCTTCAGTATTTTTAAAGGCAATGCGAGAGGGGAAAAGTCATCTTATCTGCAGAAGCCTGATAAATTGATTCTTATGAGATTTAAATTCTGAGAGCTTTAGAACATGTTTAAAGATTGGCTTTTCATTTTCATTAGTGACATAGTTTGATTTATTTTTGATCTGTCTCCCTTCCATGTCCCCTAGATTCATGATTTACTTGGTTAAAACTGAACTGTGAGAGTTTGAAATTGCCTCTAAACCATTGTCTTTTTGCCTTGGTTGACAAATGTGATTTAACTTTGCAACTTCTGTGAGCTGAGTGACAGAAGAGAGATCTATTCTTCAAAATTTGAGTAAAACTAAATATTAAAATTGTACGCGGTGATATATTTGAAGACAAAGCATTCAGCCTGCATTTGTTTTCATTATCTCTTTAAAATGTTTTTTTGTAAAATATTTACATATTCAAAACCTTCTTGGCATACAGTTTATAAGTTTTAACACACAAATAAATTTTTGTACCTGTCACCAGAGTCAAGATTCAGAACAATTTCATCACTTGAAAGATATTCTTTTGCTGGGCACTGTAGTGCATGCCTATAATCCCAGTGACTCAGGAGGCTGAGGCAGAAGGATAGCAAGTTCAAGGCCAGCCTGGGAAACTTAGGAAGGTCTTAAACAACTTAGTGAGGCCCTGTCTCAAAAAGGCTGGTGATGTAGCTCAGTGGTAAAGTGCCCCTGGGTTCAATCCCCAGTTTAAAAAAAAAAAATACACACACGTATACATATGTATATACTGTTGTGGCAGGTGCAGTGGTACACACCTGCCATACTGGCTACTCAGAAGGCTGAGGCAGGAGGATGTCCAAACTCAAGGCCAGCCTGGGCAACTTAGTGAGAACCTATGTTAAAATAAATGGGCTCAGAAAGTATGTAGCTTGGCGGTAGAATATCTGCCTAGCATGTACAAGACCCTGGTCAGTTCAATCCCCAGTGCCAAATAAATAAATAAATAAATTTCCAGAATGTCATATAAATGTAATCATATAGTAGGTAACCTTTGGAAATAAGCTTCTTTTACACAGCCTAATGCCTTTGAAATTCACCAATGTTATTAATATATCAGTAGTTTGTATTGTTGAATAGTAGTCCATCATATGACTATACCACAGTGTTTATTCATTTACCAGTTGGACATTTGTGTTGTTTCTTTGTATTGTTGAATAGTAGTCCATTATATGACTGTACCACAGTGTTTATTCATTTATCAGTTGGACATTTGTGTTGTTTCTCATTTGGGGTAATTATGAATAGAGCTACAAGAATATTTATTTACAGGCTTTTGTTAAATATGTTTGCATTATTTTAAATAACAGAGAAGTGGGTTTACTGGTTGGTATGCTAAATGAATGTTTTACTTAATAAGAGCTGCCAAACTGTTTTCCAGAGTGGCTCTAATCAGTGGTGCATGAGAATTCCAGTTATTCTGTGTCCTTGATATTTGTCATTTCTTGTTTTTAAATTTTAGCTGTTTTAATAGAAGAGTAGTGTTATCTAATTTTGGCTTCAATTTGTGTTTCCAGAATGACTAATGATATTAATTTTTTTAAAGGGCTCATTTGTAATCTGTATTTTGCGTATCTTTAATTTTTTATTGAGATGTTTGTTTTTTTATTGTTGAGCTTGCATGTAGTTTCTCCCATTCACAGCTTCTTTTTATACTTTTAGCAATGTCTTTCAGGGAGGAAAAAGTTTTAATTTTGATGGAGTCTAGCTTATTATTTTCTTCTTTTATGGGTCATGTTTTTGATGTTATATCTAAGGATAAGGAAACTTCATCTAACCCAAGGTCACAAAGTTTACTCCTAAAAGTTTTATGGATTTTATTATTAATTATTTTTTAACCTGTGGATTAAACCCAGGGGCTCTTTCCCACTGAGCTACATCCCCAGTCCTTTTATTGTGAAACAGGATCTCACTAAGATAGGAGGCTAGCCTGGAACTTGCAAGGCTCCTTCTGTCTGCGCCTCCTAAATTGCTGGGATTTTAGGCATGCACCATGGTGCCTGACAAAATTGTGTTATTGTACATTTAGATATATGATCCAGGGCCGGGGATATGGCTCAGTTGGTAGAATGCTTGCCTTGTATGCCTAAGGCCCTAGGTTCAGTCTAGCACCGATAGATAGATAGATAGATAGATAGATAGATAGATAGATAGATAGATAGATAGATTATCCATTTTGATTTACTTTTTTTCCATTTTTTAAATTGAAGCTTTATAACTGTACATATGGTGGGATTTGTGGTTGCATATTCATACATGCATACAATGTAACAAAAGAGTTTGGCAATATCATTCCCTACCAATTGCCTTTTCCCTTCTTTCTTCCCTTCCTCTGGTCCCTTTTCTCTACTGATTTCCTTTTGATTTTTATAAGAGGAATAGATTGAGGTTTGACTTTTAGCATTTAGATGTTATATTAAAATTGTACTTGTGGAATTTCAACTTATGGAAGTGATTGAGTACCAACACAGAGTGGTCAATGCCATTCATAGAAGAATTTATTGCTTACATTTTCTGAAGAGAAGGGGACTTATCACAGCAGGTTTGTCAGGCAGATGCAGGAGTGAAAGGAATGCTAAGTTAGAGTCTTTATTGGGGTTTCCTCAGGAGAGGCAAAGTGGGCAAAGTAACAATTTAGAATTGGCTAGTTTGAATAATTCTGGTGGGCTTTGGACACAGGGATGGTCTCTAGTTGCTTGGTACCTGACCTTGGCATGATACAGGGTCAGAGAAAATAGTTGGCTTGAGGTAAGAGTTAGATCGGGAGTCGATTAGGGCTACAAACCTGGGACTCCTTGGTTTGCATGTGAAGTGTGTGATCCCCGCTGAGTCCTTGGCTATTTTAAGAATTGTCTGGCTCAAGAAGGAGCAGTCTCTCCCTGGCCAGCATTCTTTTTTTTTTTTTTTTTTAAGACATCAAAATATATAATATAGAAAATAAAAAGCATGGTTAATATAGATGTCTATTTGTTCTTATACCATTAGTTGAAAACACTGTGCCATTTCCTTTAAATTGCCTTTACATCTTCAAAAAAAAAAAAAAAAAAAAATCACTTGACCACATTGTGTGTGTCAGTTTCTGGACTCTCCTCTTTATTCCATTAATGTATTTGTTTATCCGTTTGCAGAAACCCTAATATCTTGATTCAGTTGCTTTAAGCCAAGTCTTAAAACCAGGTATTTTGAGTCTTACACTTTTTATTCTTTTTCAGAATTGTTTGTATTTAAAATCCTTTCACTTTCCATTAAAAATGTTAGAATCAGATTGTGTTTATCTACAAAAAAAATTGCTAACATTTTTATTGAAATTTTATTAATTCTTTGATGATATTATGGAGAATTGATTGTATTTGTCTCATCTTTTTAAATACATGAACATGTTTTTCCATTTATTTAGGTTATTGTTTTCTTAAAAATCAGCATTTTGTAGTATTCAACATATAAATCTTTTACAGATTTTGTTGAATTTAAATCTTGTATATGTGTTATTGTGAATGATTTTTGTACACATACACTTGAGAGTTCCAGTTGTGTAACAATATTTAGAAATATTATTAATTTCTTTATATTGGTCTTATTTCTTGCAACCTTCATAAACTCACTTGTTTTAGGAGCTTGTGTAGATTCTTAGAGTTTTCTATGTAGAAAATCACATTATCTGCAATTGAGAACAGCTTTATATTTTCCTTTACACTGTGCATTTCTTTTGTTTATTTATTTATTTTCTTGTTGCACTAGATGGGGCTCCCTGTTGAATGGGGTCCCACTGTCAAGTAAGAGAGGTAAGAGATGACATCCTTATCTTATTCTCCAGCAGGGGGAAAAATATTTAGGTCTTTCACCATTAAATATGGTGATACTGTAAGATATTTGAAGATACCCTTAAGTCTGATGAAGGAATTTTTCCTTTTGCTAGTTTGCTGAGAGTTTTATCATGAATAATGTTGGAATGTATAAAATATTTTTCTATATAATTTAATGTAATCATGTGGTCTATCTTCTTTTAGCCCATTAGTGTGGTGAATTAAATTGTTACTTGAGTGTTGATCTGGCCTTGCATTCCTGGGATTAGTGCCTCTTGTTTGTGATGTATTGTTCCTCTTATATATAGCTAGATTCAGTTTGCTAATATTTTGTTATATTAAAAGATATTGGTATATCTTTTTTTTTCATTTTTTAAAAAATTTGTTCTAATTAGTTATACATGACAGTAGCATGCAGTTTGACACATCATATATAAATGGTTGTATATGATGTAGAATCACACCAGTCGTGTAGTCATAAATGCACATAGGCAAATAATGTCCAGTTCATTCCTACTGTTCTTCCTAACCCCATATCCCCTCCCCTCCCTTCTACCTAATCTAAAGTAACGCTATTCTTGCCTAGCTCCCTCCTTTTATTGTGAATTAGCATTACATATCAGGAAAAACATTTGGCCTTTAGTTTTTTTGGGATTGGTTTTTTTCACTTAGCATGATATTCTCTAGTTCCATCCATTTACCAGCAAATGCCATCATTTCATTCTTCTTTAAGGCTGAGTAATTTTCCAATGTGTATTATATACCAAATTTTCTTTATCCATTCATCTGTAAAGGACAACTAGGTTGGTTCCATAGTTTAGCTGTTGTGAGTTGATCTGGTATAAACATGGATGTGGCTGAGTCACTGTAGTGTGGGAGTGGGATAATGGTGTCAAATGGTGGTGCTTTCCATAATGGTTGCCAATTTGCAGTCCCACCAGCAATGTGTAAGTGTACCTTTTCCCCTCATTCTCAACCAACATTTATTGTTGCTTGTATCCTTTTGTTTTTTAGTTTTATATGGATACAATACTTTTATCTTATTCTTTTTATTTATTTATGTGGTGCTGAAGATTGAACCCATATCCTCATGCGTGCCCCATGCGTGCAAGGCAAGCATAGTACCCCTGAACCACAACC